TTGCCCTGAAGCCATATTTTATATGAGCAAATATAAATATTGTGTTAATGTTTAGAAACTTCAATCTAGACAAGACTCCCCATGAACTTTACTTTTTTCCTTCCTTGATTTTAAATATTTATGTTACTGACAGCTGTAGATGTCATGTACTCTCCCAAACTAACATGACATGTTGCATAGGCATCCCTATTTCTAATAGTTCTTCCAATAAAATTGTCATTCTTTCCAATATTTATTGAATGCAGTGGTTCTAGTGGGCCAATTTCCTTCTTGAGCTATGCCTAATGAAACACATGAATGGGTTGCTGGTGTGCTGGTTTAGCAGTAAATTATTTTTTGAGGCCAGGAACAGTGGGTGGATAGTGCAGGCACTCCTAAGGCTTTTCAGACTCTGGAGGGTAGCATTGTCTCTTTAGAGGTGTCCCAGCTTGTTGTAGGGTACTCTCTTTTTTTATCTTGTAAAACAGAAGAATGTGGGACCTGTGGGTCCCACATGGGAATGAAAACCTACTGGGTTAATCTGTTTTAATAATACAGTGCATGGTTTTAGGTGTGAATCTGCTTTGTGTCTATAGTGGTGGTCTTGTGGTAAGCACTTCATCTTCATGCACTTTTCCTCCCAGTGGGACCTGGGCTGAAATTGTGAACCAGAGCACTCAGTGCCTCAGTTGCAAGGTGGCTGTGAGGACCCCCAGCAGTTAGGTCTGCATGTGCCTGTGTTGTGCCTAGACATGCAGTACCAGAAAAGCAATAGGTGAGACCAAAATCTCCTAGTTGCTGCCTGGGTGTCACTTCAACCATTAGCTTATCTATCATTCTACCTCGTTCAGTGGCTGCTGGCAGAGAAGTAGGTGCCTGCTCTAGGCAGTATCCCATGCTCTGAGATCTTTCAGGCTGTTCCTGTGCCTGTCAGTAGGAAGCCACTCTACACAATGAGACATCACAAAGACCAAACGTACAGTTCTTTGTACCAGATGGGAGATGTGCTCCAGGCTGTCATCTGTTAGGCATTAAGCAACATCTCTGCTTATTTACAATATTCTAATACCTGAAAACTACACCTTGAAATGGCCCATTTAGCATATTGTGTGTTATGCATTATCTCATACCAGCCTGAAAGCGAAGAGTCCCAGTTTATTTGGTTAGAACAGCTGATGTTGTCACCATGTAGAAAGTGATGGCATTCACTGGCTTCTTAAAGTTAGATCCATATTGACACGTATTATTTTCGTAAGGAGAAAGAGTGACTTCTTACTGTACAGTAGCTATGGTTCTTTGAAATGCTGTCATCCTCAAGGATCCTGTAGCTCACCCTTCATATCTATACTTGAGCTAGATGGAGAAGAAAAGGCCACTTGAATCTGTAACTAGTGGCACATGCAGCAAAGCACAGATCACTGATTCAGAGTGGCTGCAAGGTCCTACATGTGTGCCCAAGCAGAGTCCCACTGACTGTACCTGCTCCTAAAGCTCCTGTTTCTTTAAATCCAGTCTTCCCCAGTTTACTAGGTTGCATTCAGACAGGTGTTTACCTGCTCAGATAGCACCTACCTGCAAGTAAAAATCCCATTATAGAAACATTCTGCTTTTCTGCTTCATCCAATACAATAGAGACTTTGCAGAAGTTGTCTCAAAAGGGTGATTTCACCCTTGGTGTGGCAGCTGGCTCCCTGTGCCATGCTGTGCTGGCCCATGGTACAAGTGGCTATATCTCTCCTAACTTTCTGACATACAGAGACTAACAAGGTGATTGACAAAACAAAAAAAGATTTTGATTCTTACAGTTTACCTATACAATATAACTGTTTCCATCCTGGGAAACAGATTTACCTTTTCCTCTGATTTGTAGGAGTTGCCTTGGATTCCTTTTTTTTTTTTTTAAATGCCATATCAAACTTTCTTTTATAAAGGTGCAAGAAAAGAAGCTATTAAAACCTTAAGGTGTTTGACCTGTCAATGCTTTCATGCTTGTTCTTTAAAGAATATAATGTTAGGTTAATGCATCTTTAACAACAGATATAATTCTTCCAAGGTTTGTATGCCTACTCCCTAAGGAAGAGCAGGTGTCTTTTTCCTACGCTTGTTCTCACTTACACTTTAGGTGCACAAGTTCAGCACTGATACTATATCCAGCCTTAATAAATGTGAACGTTGCTGTGGAAACACTGTCACTTTGAGAGAGGTATGGAATGCCAAAGAAACCTGTTCTTGTAGCATACAGAGGCTAAAAGCAGATGGAAGACATTTAACAGTTAAGCTTATTATTTATGTAAAATATAGATCATGTGAGACTGTGGAATGTATTTGTTAATTAAGTGAAAATCAGGAATTGTGTGTGTTCCAACTAATTCCTCATGTGTTACCATAGAGCAAGAAGATACAAGCCCTAACAAATACATACTTATATTTTTGGCAGCATAAAGTAGTCCCTAACTTCCCAAGTAGCATATATTAAAGCACATAAATAACAAAGCTGCAAATCTTGTTTAACCTTTGGGGTTTTCTTACCAGTTTTCTTGGAAATTATTTGGGTTTGTAATTGGGAGAACTGTGTCTGCTGAAGCTTGTAACATAATTTTTATAGCAGTATTTAATGGATGGTACATGGGAGCAAGTTTTGAGAATGAAACAGATTACTGCACTTTTCCTCATATGCCCAGGAAATCACCTTAGGGCCTCTGCTTCATAGCTGTGAAGTGGAGATATGCTGCTACCTTTGTTAAGTGGCCTGAGATCTGTTGGTGAGAAGTTCCGTACAAAATCTCAGTTGCTGTTTAGTTTCCAAAAAGCTAGTCAACAGTCCCCACTTCCTCCCTAGTCAATAAATGGGCAGGTAACAGAGCTGAGTTGGGCTTCAGAGATCTAGGTGAGTCCCACAGGAAGGAACTGGGAAGTGGAGAGCTGTGCAGATGTGAAGGAGTGCGGGTCAGCTGCTGGCTGTCAGAAGAACAAAAGACTGTGCCAGCTCTATCCTATGATCTACACTTTGCCATAATTTAATATGAAGACAATAAGCTCTCATCAAACCAAGACTGGTTTTTGACGTGCACAGAATTTTAACAGTTGAGTACCTGAAGTGTTGTTTAGCAGTAGTGAGATGACTCTGCAAGAGGGACAGCTTAGTGTATTTCAGATAACCTTTTCCATGAGCCAAAGAAAGGGAATTGATTAATTGGAAGCTGAGGTTGTCAGACTTATTCCAGGGGTTGATCCCCAGAAAAGGGGCCTTCAGCCCCCTGATCCTCTTCCTTCTACATGAGAACATCTTTCAGGTCACAGGTGCCCCAACTCCCAGAACAGCTGTGTTTGGCTACATGCATCACCATCACAGTGGCCTCCTGATGTCACAAGCCACCTCACTGCCATTTTATTCCAGGCCCTATAAGTGTAGGGACCCCAGCAGCTGGCCCACAATTTGTTGAGCTTTGAGGCTTTCAAGTTCTAAGGATGCCTGCCAACAAGAGGTCCAAGAGGAAAGCGTATGGCTGCCCATCTTTGTGTGGGGGGAGAGAAGACATATGGCTGCAGGAACCACAGAGGAAGAGGAGGCAATGTGGGACAGGGGACACGATCAGCCACACTGTACATGTGGAGCCCATGGAGGTGGATCCACCTACAGATCAAGAAGAACCAATGGAAGTGGATCCACCTCCAGCATAGCTTCCCTGGCAGCAGTGCTCTGTGCCAGGTTTCCCCTCCATGACATCAGAGCAGCGGTGGGACAGGAGTGCCCAGTGTCACAGGAGCACCTGGCCCAGCTGCCACACCTGCTGTTAGCTGGCTGTCCTGCAGGCTCATCTGTTCCTTCTCCTGGCATCAGTAATTACTATGTTGAGTTCAACAGGTGGTGTGAGCCCTTCTTACCCATCTCCCATCCCTCTCCCCTGTTTAAAAAAGAAGACCACCAATAAACCAAGGAAAGTTTGGTACTTTGGTGACTGCATCTGGACTCCTCTGTCTACTCCCAGTCTCCTAAGTCCAGGAAAGACACTGATGTGTGAGGTGTGGGGCCAGACTGGGGCCTTTGAGATGGTGAGGTGGAATTTGAGTCTTCATCCAAAGGACTTAGTTACATTATGATAAGCTTTTGTGAGAAGTTAATGTCTTCAGCTTTGTGTGATACTATCCTATAACTATCTTCATAAAAAGTTTAGTAGTAGTGGTAGTCACAGCTGCTTCAGGAACAGTCGGCTCCCCTGGTGCAGGGTCTTCCACAGCTGCATAATCCAAGTCTGCTGGCACAAATCAAATTTCACCCCTCCTGGTGCCTTCAGGGAATGCCCCACTATGTTCCTGTATGAATGCAGAGGGACAGCCTGCCATCTCCCCATGGGCTTCAGGGGAACTTGTGCTTAGTCACCTTCTTTCCCTTCTTCCTCACCAACCATGGGCACTGCTCTGACTCTCCTGCTTCCTTCCTAACTGCTCACTGTGTTCAGCTCTTGTATCAGTTCTTTGTATGTTAATTCTCTCTCTAACGGCTCCTTGGCTGGTTTGGAACTGGGGGAGCTCTTCAGCTTCTTACTGGAGCCACCCATGGGGCCTCTCCCCAACTACCAAAAAACCTGTCAAACCAAACCAGCACAGACATTTAAAGGAATAGTGCTGTGTACTAAACTCCTGGTAGTTCTCATTCACAAAGGCTTTTGCCCTGAAACACTGCTAAGCTGAGAGTGTGAATGACTGTGATAACAGAGTTTTTGTCTGGAGTGGGTATGCACCAAGTGATAAAAGTTTTCCTGAGTGATGTAAGTGATGCAGGTATTAGATTCACTTGTCTCTTCATGTTTTTTGATGAGTCTTATATGTGATTTGCCTCTAACTTTGTAGATGATCACATGAAGTTCAGTCATCTGAAAAGTATGTTGAAATGATGCCATTCACGTAGATGAGCTCCTTGCAACCATTTCAAAATCCAGCTGAAGTGCGTAGGATTCCCAATGGCAACCCAATGCATTTCTGTTTGACTGCTGTGTGGATGTTATGTGGCTGTGGCTGACATGAATTCTGGTGCTTATGACCAGGCAAAAGATACCTTTGAAGTTCCACTAAACCTCAACTTTCGTAAGTTAAGCAGCAACTTAGAAAAAGTGGTTCTTGTGTTAATTTCTTTCCATGTAGAATTTGAGGTATGGGATGAAAATGGGATCTGAACATCAGAATAACTGATTGATGACCATGTCTGCCCTGCAGTTTGGATCCAAGGAAATATAAGCTCATGCACAGCTACGCTCCAACATCAGCGAAGCAGTAAGTGAGTGTTAATTCAAGTTTCTTTGGTGCTAGATTTGAGACTAGTGTATCAGACCATTGATAAGGCAGATGAGGAAGGTTGAAATTTGCTAGAGTCTGGTCCTGAAGTTGTAAAGAAGCTTGCTGGTGTCCCAGTTGGAGCCAGTTTAGAGCTTCTTGTAAACATAAGCAAGATGAAATCTTGAAAGCTGGAGCATGACAGGCTCAGGGCTGTCTGGGGCTGGGCTGTTGATCCTCAAAAGAGAAGGACAAGGAGAAATGGATCTCAGGGCAATGGGAGGTCTAAATGGTTTTCCATCTAATACATTCATTATAATATCTGCAGGACAGGTAGTATCTATGGTTGCAATAGTGGTTATTACTGGCTGTATTGGTGCCAGGGCCTTAGCTGATCTCCTTAAAACCAACAGTTGTTACACTTGCAAATTTGTTGAAGGGAGTTAACGCAGAGTTGAATTTTAAATTAATATGTTTGATTTGGTTTAGGAGTATGTTTCAGGAGAGTATAGTGGTTGATTTGCTCTGGAAAGCCTTTTTGTAGATAAAAGCATTACAGCTCTCATCCAAAGGGCATTAGGGACCTCTGCCAAGGTCCCTAATTTTCTCTTGAAACCCAGGTACTCTATGTTTACTTCCACAAATATTCACAGCAGTACATAATGTATACATGTATAACTAAGAGAAGAGCAGTTCATGATGCTCCTGCATCAGTAAGACTCACAGGGAGGTGTAGTCCCCCATGCACACACAGGCCCATGTAGTCTCAGAGCATCTGAAGCTCTTTAAAAGGATCTGTTACTCTAAATTCCTTGAAAACTTCCTGAAAATTAAAAATCAATCCATTTTCTCAATCTCTGACAAGTCACTAATCTTATGGAAGTACTTTTTGTGCCCAAAGTGAAGGACTTTGACAGGAGACAAATGCAGTCATTTACACTGACAGACTCATTCTCTGCCTGACCTCACCCCAATGACATTTTGAAAGTGTGGGTGCGTTATTTTGTTCAGGTGAATAATTCAAAATTACCATTCATATGAAAGTTTATCAAAAACTAATGGGATTTTGCAAAATAAATGGCTTCACCATTCTTCATCTAGCAGATTGCTGAGAGATGAAATGGGTCTCTGAGATATCTATTAAGTTCTGTCAGTAGCTCTGAATATAAGGCAGGCATGTGCTTTAAACTTTTCTAGATAAAGTCTTACTCTCTTTAGTTATGAGTGAGGAGTTTTTAATGCACAATGAGAATGCTAATCATCCAGTTGCTTGCTGCTTATAATGCTGTTTGTAACAACAGATTATTTTTAATAAAAAATCAAATTTTCTAAGAATGGTTTTCTAAAAATAACACTTTTCAGAAAATTCTTTAGAATCCTATTTCCTGAATAATTGATCTCTTCTAGCAGCTCAGAACAGTGGTGGATGCCTAGACCCTGAGGGTAACCAGAAGGGTTTCTCATGTAGTTGCTCAGTGATGGTCTTGGAAGAAAATGGCAGTTAGTGTGTTCATCCTTCTCGTAAGTTTTATCAAGCAGTTCAAGTACACCATCAAGTTTTGATACTGGATGTAATTATTCTCTACAACTAAGTGTATATTTAATCCTGTAAGGTAGGAGTGTTAAGGAGGCAGAATACACTTTGCACATATGGAATATTCCATTCTTTACTGACACTGGAGCAAGCTAAGGCTTATTCTTTTTCTTTTCTATCTGCATGTCAAAACATGAACAAAAGTCAAAATATTTGTTGCTACAGATCAGTCATATGTGCAAATGTGCAACCGCAGTTTAATTAGTGCAAACTATGTCAGCAAAGGGGAGCCTGCCTTTCCCAAAAGGTACCCCTCAAATTGTGCTTTAGCCAGACCACTGTATTAACTAGATGAGCTCTTCCCATAATAAAATTGTATTTTGAATCTTATCTAGATTGTCAGATAAGCTTTATGGAGACAGGGATGGTATGTAGGTAACACGTGCCAGACATGTTTGGACCATGTTATGCTGTGCCATCAGTTATGACTGGGTTATCTGAGCAATACCATAACATAAGCTTCAAATTATTTTTGCTATCTCTTTACCCAGTGTTATGAATCTTCTCATTCTCCAAGAAGCAAAGGATTGTGAGAAGGAAACAAGGGAAGGTTGTGTGTAGGAAGGGAAATTCCTGCTAACTTTCTGTAATTCTGTAATTTTCCATAGCCACCTGTGTTAGTGGTTTGCTTATATATTTTATTTTTTTTTTAATAAACACTTAAAAGGCCCAGAATAATAGCAGATGAACAAAAGAGAACACAGTGTCACTGAGATTGCTTTGGCGGTCAACAGAAAGACTGCTCAGCAGTGCAAGGGAAAAACAGATGGAGGCAGCAACTCTAAAATCAGATGAGGTTAAGATTCGTTTTTAGCAGAATGTTGAATCTCTAACAGCTAATTACATCTCTTTACATTGTATTTTAAAAGCAAAATATTTTTAAAATAGTTTTTTGTTCAGCAAAAAGAGAGTTTAGGGATTTTTCAGATGATTGTCTCTAATTAAGAGTTTTATGGCTAAGACCATTGCTAGAATAAAAACGTTGACTACTTCTGCCTGCAGCTTCTACATAAAAATCCTATATATATTCATTAACATTAGCTTCCTCCTTTCTCACTGATCTTATTCATTAATGAGTACTGTGGATTCCTTTATTGCATCTTCTTCATCCTGGATCATTATAGGGTCACTAAATGTAATTCTTCCCTGTGGGTATATACTAGCTGTTCCTGTTCATTTCACAACATTGTAATTAGGGAGAAACCAGAGGTTGCAAATTATGAAAATAATTTTGTTTCATGTAGATGCAGTGTCAGCTGTAGAGGGAAATCCATTTTTTTCACTCACATTGTTTGCTTTATTTTTTCTTTCTTTTAAGTAGAAAGGGACCTGGTATTACTGATCCAAACCCTCACACAAGTTCTGCAGCAGTGTTTCTTTTTCATAGCCAGTTGGAGTTGAGATATTAATACATTTTAAATGAAATTATTCTTATGTCACCAGGCAAAGGCACATGAAGTCTTGAGCAGCAGCCACTCTGGAGTGAGTGGATGTGATGGTCAGGTCCCTTGAGGACTGTGCTGTGTGCAATGGTGCTCTCTGTGTGCAGGGAACAAGCTGAGAGTGCTGCTGCTCGAGGCCTCTAGCTCTGTTTGGATTTCTCCTCTCCTGTGTTTTGAGCTGGGCAAGGTCTTGGTGTTGGGCTGGCCACTGCCAACATGACTTGGTTTTTCTCTCTGTTGCTGTATGTGCTGTCAGCTGCTTGATAAAGAGGACAATCGACTCCTCTGTTTTTTGGAACAGCTACTTCTGTTCTAATCAAGCAGGAGTGGAATCAGTTTCCCATCAATGACAGCTAAGCATGACAGCCCATGTTTTCTCTTTCTAATTTTGGAAAGTCAGGGGCAGCAAGCCTTACCTGACATGCATACCGTCCATTTCGGCACACGTCCTCATGCTGTTATAGTCCTCTGGATGTCCCTAGGGATACATAGTCGTGCTCTTGAGAGGGAGGTTACCAACCCATGCAGTCACTTCATCTGATTCTGAAAGAGATAGGGAGAAGGGGAGATACACGTCTTTCATAGGTCAGTAGCAGAAATTATCTAGGGTTTAGTATTACCTTAATCTCACTGGTGTACTCAGTGTTTAAACCCAAAGATGACAGGTACTTTGCTGTACTTTTGACAACAGACAAAGCAGGTACTGAGTACAGATTCCCACACAGGGCTGCTGTTGAACCTGGGTTGTTTCTGCCTGCAGCACATCCATTGTCCCAGACCTTAGACTCTGATCATAAGGAAATGGCTACAGCACGAGTGCTGCAGTAAGAAGGAATCCCTGAAGTGTCTGAGGGCTGTAAGCCTGTTTCACCTCTACCCATGCATCAAATATGAACTCCTGTCTCCAGTGACTTAACTTTCTGCACCGCCGGTCCACAGGCCTCTCTATAATGCTCTTATTTCTGCATGGGTCACAGGGGACCCACTCAAGCTTTTAATCTGTAGCTTATTGTTTAAAGATTTATTTGTTTTGCAAGTCTGCTGCCTGATCACAGGCCAGCATCCATGGAAGGAAGCTGGACAACTGGAAGAGTGTCCATCTGGGTGCCTTATCTGATGAAACTGCTTTGAAGGATTCAGGTCATTTGCAAATGCCGTCTTAAAACTGCAGATGCTTCATTTTTCTTGTTTACAGTGGAAATACATGAGAGAAAATGAGGTGTAACCAGCAAGTCCCTTGATGTTGCAGAAATGTCTTTTTTTTTTTTTTTTTTTTTTTTTTTTAGGAGTGCCTTTTTTCCATGGCTACCCTTTTTAAAAT